CGTCGAGGGCCGTAACCCGTGGTCATTATGACATAGCATTGAATAGTAAATGGGAGAGAGACGAAAAGAAAAGTCAGTGCCCAACCTGGGCAGCCCAGGCCACCTGCCGATGGGCAATAACCCGAGAAAGTCACTGAGTGACTGTCACCCGATGGGAGGGCCACCTGCCACTCCTCGTTCACCACAGGCCGCCAACACGCCGTCGTGCGGTGCTGCAGCTACACCCGCCCCCGCCCCGGGAAATTCCCTCATGGGGTGTGCTGCATATCAAGCTGGTAAACGGCGGATCATAGGCCGCCTACACAGTGAGTGGTGAGGGCATGAAGAAATAGGAGTAACGACCCTAAGAAGGATTCAGACCCTATAGTTAGCTACGGCAAGGAAGTTTCTTGAAGGAACGCCGAACTGACTCACATACACCCAAACAGGCCTGAAAGAGCCCACATCAGTGAAGGCGTTACAACTGAGTCAGCATCGCTGACGTCAAGGGTCATGATTCAGTGAGTCACATCCCCTGCCAGGCGCTGATTGCTACACAGAGAGACGAAACATTGGGGTCCGATTCCGATTCCCACTGGACACGCCCAAACCTTCTGACGTGGGCGATAACCAAAGAATAATAGTCTCAAAAAAAATCACTCAAGAGCGACTCGCTCCGAGCGAGGGCCCCCGCCGCTTCTCGATAATTTCAAGGCAGCCGGCCTTGAAATGAGGAAAGGTATGAAATCAAGCTCAACCTGAGCATCTGAATACTCCTCACGCCTAAGAACTCGTATTGCAGTTCCTTCACTGGGCGTCCGGTGGAGGTTTAAGCTCAGTAAGAGGAGCGGGATTTTCAAAGTTTTTCTTTGTGAGGTAACCTCGGATCACGTAGATCGGCAAAGCCTTCGATCCCAGCTAATCAGTCCTACACCTCTAGAGGGTAGTTAGAGAAGGACGAAATTCGTCCGACGAATATCAGCAATATATAACACTCACAGTCACAGTAAAGCCTAGACATTGAGAGGTATCGTCAGCGCACATTAAAAAAAAGACAAACTGACAGCATTGCTATCAGGCAGCGGCCATCTCTTGGAGAAAATAACCGCGGTCGATGATGACGCATGACGAATACCAGTAGGAAGAGGAGAATGATGAGGGTACTGCTTCAAGTACTCGCGAGGAGCAACAGAGCAGATGAGGATATGTATGGTGATAGAATATATCAGTCAGTGATGACAAGCAACGTATCAAATCGCTGAGGCTATCCTTGCCACTCAACTGACACTACGAGAAGGTTCAGCGTCCGACCAATGGAGGAGTTATGATGAATGTGGGGAGAAGGCTGAAGACAAACGCATGTTGCCGATGCTTCAATGAGAAAGATCCCCACGAAGTACTTCTCTAACAAATCGTGGGCACAGCGATAGACTCTTTCATAATGAACATCATTGCAGACATTGTCTGCCAGACAATAATGGACCATCACTGCTGAAGTGTGACAATTGGCAAACTGGCCAAATTTACAGCAGCACCAGCTGACTTGGTAAGAATGCTGACAACGTTGATAAAGACCAACCGCCGAGACGCAGGAGACCCTTCAAAATGAGGGTAGCCACTGAATTTGCTACTCTGCTCACCCGCGAAGAATACTGTGTAACGGGGAGGAGGAAGTGGCAGTAAGAAAAGAGCAGCGGTGTCTATCACGATAGCCAACAAAAACCAAAATCAGCAATATAGGAACCCAGCGCCCAGAAGGTAGACCTTCCTGGTAGCATAACATAAACCCCTGTGACAGTCTAAGGGTAAGACAGCTATTTTGTAAGTTCAATGAAGTAAATAACCAGCAACACTCCTAACGCATTCCTAGCGGTGATACAGGGGTTTTACCACTGTGGACTCACATACAATGTCAACAGTAATAGGAGTCAACAGTTGGTCAACAGCCTAATAATAAGAAACCATTCTTCCATCACATTTCAATCGCAGTACAACAGATAGTGTTGTTATTCGTCTTTATGATTCGTATTAGTGTAGTAGTAGACGTCTACTCACCGAACTCTAGGATCTGGCAAGCCGATATCGCGGTACCACCGACCAAGGTAATGCAACCCAGGATAACGAATGCTGCATACAACCAATTCTCAGCAGCGAAGAATTTCTTGCTCTTCGAGAATGATGTGCAGAAATACGGTATTTGGGTAACCCAGGAGCAATGAAACACAGGATGGATCCAGCAACAGCACCGAGGCGACCCATCAGAATGGATACATCAGGCAAGGCGATATCGATGAGATGAGAGATGACGACAGCGATAGTAACGACTACAACTCCCCAGAAGTCAGCACGCTTTGGTTGGAAGGTGTTGATGAGGGCAACACAGACAGGATACACCATACACGGATAAGTGCCAATGAATGAAATGCCCGTCCAAATGAAGCCAATGATGACAACAACATCACCCTGGGGAATCCAATCAGCCAAACAGTTAAGCAAGACACTACTCTGTGCATCAAAACCGGAAACCAGAAGGAACGAGATGGCAATAATGAAGTAAACAGCAGTACAAATAACGGCAGACCAGACGGCGACCGAACGCAGCTTCCTAGGGCTCCTATTGCTCATCTCAATGTAGATCTCGGGCATGTTAGCTTGGTTGCAGAAACCGAAGATGTACGTCGTGACACCCTCGATGCAGGCGATCCAGCTGACAGGGGCATATGCATGACGGTCATGCCATGACCACGATCGAGTTCTCGGAGATACTATTCGAGCCAAGGAGATATAGAGCTACGATAGCCAACCAGAGTATTCCGAGAATACTAACCGTAATGAGGTACCGCAATGATCCGAGACTCTTAACCAGACAGATTGGGTACATGACAATACCCAACATGATGAGGGACAAGTAATATCTCGAGGTTAACATGATATGATGCCAAGCATTTAAAAAAAATTAAAGAAGCGTAGCAACGCTAACGACTGACAGAGAGAATATCAGACCATCTCGTCGCAGTCGACTAGCCATCCATTCGTTATCTTGTAGTCTTGACACAGCGCGATTCCGGATGAGTCACTCGTCACTTGAACTCTTAAGCATGTTTCCCATGCTTCTCCAGGCTGTAGTGAATCACTACTAGTGGTAATTCACTGGTTAACTGACAGTTAATAACTGTGATACGTTGGACGGACTGCATAACGATCGGATGAATCTCGACTCAATACAGGTTAGTTGATGACCGACAAATCTTGAATAGATTCCATTCTAACCGTTGTAACTTCGGCTCGCTAATAAGGTTCGGACCAGCAGTGATTGGGAAACGCCACCTGAGCTGGTGAATAGCACTGCCACCCAGTCTGCGGGAATAAATGCTCGCTTTCCTCAGCTGAGCTCAGGAGTTCTTTCACTAATTATACAAGTTTTCATACGAATTCGCTTAGTAGTGTATAGAAACCAATGAGCGCTCCCTCAATAATTGAGGGAAACGCTCATTGGTTTCTATAATAGTTGAGGCTCAATTCTTCCTCGGAATTCCCACACATGTCACCAACACACGTAGTCGATCATGTGCCTATTTCCTCACACTGCATCCAGTTTTCCCAAAATTTGCTTTCCTGAGGAACCTAGACGCAGCAATACAAACCACGCCGTTCAATCACCGTGCTCTGCAATCCGGCGTCCAGCATTGGTGGATTAGTAACATTTGATCATTGGTACCAATCACAAGGAAAATGAAATGTATTGCTGATCTCAAATTGATAGTTTTTTTCCAATGACATATCATGGGCACGAGCAGTAATCAACCAGAGCAATGGTACAACTATGAAAACTGGCATCTCCAAGTCATAAGGCCAGACAGTAGACCATGTATAACATCAGGAGTAGTGGAGCTTCAGCAGTCAAAACCAAATCTTCAAATCCACCACCCAGAACACAGACC